ATGATGAAATTTCCTCTTCTGTAGACGTAATAATGAGTTAACTGAAATCGAATGGAGACTGAGAATACAGAATTAATATGCAGGTGGCTTCGCTTTCAGAGAATTAATGTAAGTGACAAACAATGGCATCACCCCTGGACCTCACCAGGGTCCTTGTCATGAGTGTGCAGATGGCATGAGGCCGTGTTGGTTCCAGTAGAGATTCTTCTGCTGAACACAAACTCAACACACTGGGGAAGGCCAACGTGAAGCCCCCCAAGCCCCGAGTCCCGCGTGACGATTTTTTTAGCCAGGAGGCCACCAGAGCCAGAGCTGTGCTACTAACCAGGAGGCTTTCACTCTCCCCCGGGAGCAGTGCTCTGCCAGAGGAGGGTGCAGTGGGGCGGGTCCTCCGAGCCACCCCCAAGCAGGTCCTCGCTGTCCCAGGAGCTCCAGTGGTCTGAGGGTCCTCTGTGGTGAGAGGGCGAGGGAGTGAGTGGAGAGCAGCTGCTGCAGCGGCTGGCTGGGTGAGGGCAGGCCAGTGCCCAGGCTGCAGGTGCTCTGAGCTCTGCGCTGAAGCCTGGCTCTTTTTTTTTTTTTTTTTAAAGATTTATTTATTGTGCATACAGAACTGGGGAACAGGCCAGAGGCTCAGGGGCGGCGAGAGGCTTCACCAGAGACAGAGCAGGGAACAGAACAGGCAGATCTATGAAGTACACTGCTGAGGGGAGCAGCGGGCGGGTCAGGAGAGGTCTGCCACGCCATGTGGTCACCTCTGGGGCAGGCGGGGATTGAACTCATGCGGAAGTGGCTTTAGATTCTCAGTGCTGTGCTTTAACTCGCTGCGCCACCAGGGAGGGCCAGCCTGGCTTTTTAATAAAACCCTTTTGGCTTCCTTTGGGGGTCTCTGGTCTCCACTCATAAGCCATAGGCTGGCTGTCGCCTCATCAGTCCTTAAGTGGTGTGTCGCATAGCTGTCCCTTGTTTACATCAAGTTCCAAGTCACATCCAAACACGCTGTTTACATCATATGCTCCCACTTACATCCAGTGTTTACAACATAGCTCCTAACAGTCTTGCACTAAGAGTTTCAGGTGTCTGTAGGTGCTGTCATGACCGGTGAGTCACAGGTCTCCATGTCTAAGTCACTTGTCCCTGAGCCCCCAGCACAGAGCCCAGCCTCTGGTGTGGCCGGCATGCCATGTGAGTCTGAAACAGGTTTGCTAAGAGAAATCAGCCCAGCAAAGGTCAACAGAGGAGTGCTGGGCTCTACCTGGGGTCTGCGTTTCATCTCATTGCCAGCCTAGCGCCCAGAGCCAGAGGACCTGGGGCAGAGCTCCGGCCCACTGGACATCCAGGGTACCTGCTGGCTGCACGTCCAGGGTGCACTGCTTCAATAACACAGACTGGGTGTCTTGCCAAATACGGGTGCGTGTGGAGATGGCCCTGCTGACCAGAGCAGTCTAAAAAGTAAAGAACAGGCCCTCCCTGGTGGCGCAGCGGGTTAGAGCACAGCACTGAGAATCTGAAGCCGCTTCCGCATGAGTTCGATTCCCGCTTGCCCCGGAGGTGACCACATGGCGTGGCAGACCTCTCCTGGCCTGCCTGCTGCTCCCCTCAGCGGTGTGCTTCATCGATCTGCCTGTTCTACTCCCCGCTCTGTCTCTGGTGAAGCCTCTCGCTGCCCCTAAGCCTCTGGCCTGTACCCCAGTTCTGTATGCACAAATAAATAAATCTTTAAAAAAAAAAAAAAAGAACATTTCAAACAATTACTGTGACAGCTGGTGTAGGCAAGAGAAAAATCCCATCCCTTTTACTTGGAAACTTTTGCCCAGCAGCAAAACTATAATGTGTAGACACAATCTGTTAGAATTTGCAAGTGTGCGTCCCAGACACCTACCTGTGACATCAACTGTTGCTCAACACACACATATTAAATCTGGAATTCACAAAGTAATATTTTTTGGTGCTGATAACGTATTTGTAGAGTACCTGGGAAGTTTTTCTTTTCTTTTTTTTTTTCCCATTATAAAAGCAATAGAAGTTTGTGTTAAGGAAATTCAAACCGAACAAAAGGGAATCCATTTTAGTGAAAAGGTCTTACCTAATGCCAACCCCCCTCATTTCAAATCCCCTGCTTTTGTTAAGATATTTTGGGGTGTTCCAGAGCTTTTCTAGGCAGATGCAAGAAAATACTATTAACCTGCTGAGATTTTTCGACAAGTGAGGCTATATATTAATGTCTTGCGATGTGTACAGTAACACATACTGGGCGCCTTGCCAGACACAGCCTTAAATGGTTCTGTGGTATCCATTTATTGGAGCTATATGAGGAAATTTATTTTAAAGATTTATTTATTTGTGCATACAGAACTGGGGTACAGGCCAGAGATGCAGAGGGGTGAGAGGACTCACCAGACACAGAATGGGGAGCAAAACAGGCAACTGATGAAGTCCACTGCTGAGGGGAGCAGCAGGCAGGCCAGGAGAGGCCGGCTGCCATGTGGGTCACCTCCGGGGTGGGGACTGAACTCATGCTGAAGTGGCTTTAGCTTCTTGATGCTATGCTTTTAACCCGCTGCGCCCAGAGAGGAAATTTTAACTAGCCTCCTAGTATTGGACATTCAGGAGAATTGCCTACAAAATAATGATCGTTCACAGAAGGATGCAATGTATTTGCCATCTTTCTATGGTGGCAAAGATGCCACCTACTCTGTTTATCCGTGAAACCCCCAGTGCTTAGTGCATTGCCCAACACATGTGGGTGCCCAAAAGGGGATTTTGGGGTGAATACATCTCCATGTGAATGTACAGGCATTTGAATTTTCTTTGTGTATTGACCAATCGCCCTCCAAAAGCTTTGCTTTTTTATAAATTCCCCTCCCTCTTTTGCCTTGTTTGCTTCTCTCTTGAGAAACTGAAACTTCATCTTCAGAACTCAGAGCAGTGGAAAGGCAGCTTGCTCGTGTGTTTGTTTCTGGCATTACTAGCCACTCCCATGGATTGAGGGGATTACCGTCGCACAAGTGCATTATCTTCCTGTTCTGGAGGACAGCAGTCCACAACAGTTCAGACGGACGGTGTTCCCTCTGGATGCTCTAGAGGATGATCCATTTCTTGCTTTTATAGCTTCTAAAGATCGCATCTCTCCCTCCGTTTATGGTCCTCTCTACATCACTGCGACTTCTGCACTTACTGCCGCCTCTCCTCGGACTCGGACCCCCAAACCTCCCTCTTTCCCTTATATGGACCCTTTGGCCACCCGTAGTACAATCGTAGATAATCTCCCCATTTTGAAATCCTTAATTGCATCCCATCTGCCAAGTCTTTTGTTACATAAAGTAACATGGTTACAGGTCCAGGGATTAGGACATGAATGCTTGGGGGCCTCGTGATCCGTGATCCGTCTCTCCAGCTGAGGGATGACGTTTGAGTATCAGCATTTTACTTCAACACATACATATGCTAAGTATTGAGACCTGACTCACATGCCCTGAAATCAATCTGAGAAACACACTAACCAGGCACATTGCTCTGCCCTTTTCATAACCACCCTGAGGCTCTGCTTTTCTTTCCTGCAAAACTGGAGAGCTTGAGATTTGTCTCATAGGAAATGCTGTATCTAAGATATCTGTCCATCCCTGTCCATTTAACCTGCAGTCAGGAATTAGTCATGTTGTTTTAATATTCACAAAATAAAATGAAAGTACTGGACTAAGCACAAATGAGGCAGAAAAAGATATTCTCTAAACTGCTGGAGTGAATGGAAATTGGCACAGGCTTTGCAGAGGGCAGCAGCTGACTGCATGAAGGAAATGGAGTCTCGTAAGTATTTTTCTCTTTATCCCAGTAATTACCCATGTCTAAAGTGTATCTTGGGGGCATGGTTGAATTTATGTACAAAGATGTTCCATGAAATAATATTTATAATACTGGACATAGAGTGGGAATATAGTAAGAATCCACTAGTAAGGGGTTAGGTAAGAAAGTGCCTCTCATTCATAATACAGAAATCTCATCCGCCTTATCAAGGATTTTGTAAAAAACAATATTAATTACCATGCTCAGAGGTTTGTCAAAAACTAATCACAAACGTTGGAGTAGGTTCAACCAGGGTTATTTATGATCTAACATAGAACTCTGTGTGGTCAGTCAGCGTAGGTAGAAAAATAAGGACTAACAAACATAGATTGTATGAGCGCAGCAGCGGTCATTTCTGGGCATGGACTTGGTGGATTTTGGTTTTCTGATATTTTCCATTTTCAAGCAGTGAGGATAGATACAGAGATTTCAACACACAATTCTTCTGGATTCCCAGGGTTTGTGGGTCGAGAACAAACACGACAGGTGTCCCCTGCTGGAGGCGGGAGGCGGTGCCACCTAGCTGCAACTTTTTAAAACAGCATATTGTGCCCAAAACCCTTCCAGAGAAGCGAGCCTGAAACTAGCACACTCCTCTGCTAACTCAAGAATGGTTACCGGGACAAAGAGGCCAACTGCAAATCACGGACCAAACGTCACCCCGGGAAACCGCTGCTACTCATTCTAGGCGCACTAGGAAGACGGACAATTGTCAAGGTCGGGGGTCAAAGCTCCCGGCGTTTGATTCTCCCGTCCTTGCGCTTTGGTAACTTGCATTTGGAGAGAGCATAAAGACAAAGTAAATGTGCACGAATACGGCATTTACTACGTTTTTAATTAGGATGCTACATTCGCATTGCAGAACTCTCCTTAGGCGCACGTAAGGATACTGTCGCGAGGGCCAGCACCTCCCAGGGACGCTACGAATTCGGCCGGCGCTCGGCTCCTCTTCGGCTGAATTCGGCCGGCGCTCGGCTCCTCGGGCTCGGCTCGCTTCGGCTTTCTTCGAGTCCCTGTCGCGTCGGCCTCGGCTGCCCTTCGGCTGAGCTCGGCCTGCTCGCGTCCTCTCGGGTTCGGGTCTTCTCGGCTACGTTCGGCCTCCACTCGGCTCAGACTCGGCTCTCTTCGGTTGCGCTCGGCCCCGGCCCCGGAAGGGCTCGCATGGAGCCGGGAGCGCGGGCCCGATCCTTGGCGATGGCGCCGCTGCTGGAGTATGAGCGGCAGCTGGTGCTGGAACTGCTGGAGACCGACGGGCTGGTAGTGTGCGCCCGCGGGCTCGGCGCCGACCGGCTCCTCTACCACTTCCTGCGGCTGCACTGCCACCCGGCCTGCCTGGTGCTGGTGCTCAACACGCAGCCGGCCGAGGAGGTGCGGCCGCCGGCGCGGGGGGTGAGGGGACCCCGAGAGTGCAGGGGCGTCAGGCACACGCAGGCCCGGGCGCCGGTGCCGAGATTCTGAGGGCGCGCAGCTCCCTGACACGGCGGGGTCGGTGCAGTGGAGGTCCCCTGAGACCGACGCAGGTCCCTGACAGGGGTGCTAGGCTGGGAGAGGATGGGAGGCGCTCTGAGAAGATTTGGGGGGATCATCTGGGGACGATGTGTTTGGGGAGAAGGATTGACATGCTGAAGGGCATGGGGACACGTCTGGAGGAGGCGATGAATAAGAAGAAGGATGTCAAGGGGCTTGCGGGGGACAGAGAAGTGGGACCCCAAAAGGGAAACATGAAGGTGACGGGGGCGGGGGGGGGGTGTCGCTGAGGTTATTTGCTGGGACTTGAACGGGGACACTGAGGCTGGGGAGAACCCAGTAGGGAAAAGGAGGGACCGAGGGGTTTCAGCAAGGAAGGACATAGAATCTGAAGGGAAGGGCGAGAGCTGTGGAGGCTGGGGGTGGCTCCCTGAGGTTACATGGGGTCAAGGAGATGGGAGTATGTGGAGGAAGGGGGATATGCTTATGCCGAGGCCAGAGGAAAACATCAGCTGAAAAGAGTAACCACAGAGTCCTTGAGGGCAGGGACCCTGACTGATGCATCAGGGTGTCCCCAGTGCAGACCCAGGCCCCCAGTCAAGTATTGAACTGAAGGTGCACAGAGTCATGGGCCGTTTTCAAGGAGGTCCCTCCAGGCCGGATAGGGTGAGAAGGTCTCACAGCTGCCTGCAAATCTGCTGTTCCTGTTTTGTAGGTAGCCAAAGCGTTGCATCCAGTGTTTTGAAGTCTTTGTTACCATGCTAACAACTCAAACAGAATGATCCCTTAGTGTACACCCCAAAACAAAATCAAAATCCGAGTTAAATGTAGATCCACCTAAGGGAATAACTCAGTTTGTGTATTCTCTAGCAAGCTCATTGTCTTTGAAGAAGGCAGCTCAGTGTTTTAAATACAAATGCCCAATGCCTATTAAAAATTCCTCTGTATTAAACAGCCACTAACAAGTTCGATCTGATTTAGGAGTATTTTATCAATCAGCTGAAGATAGATGGAATTGAACACCTCCCTCGCCGGGTGACAAACGAAATCGCCAGTAACAATCGCTATGAGGTTTACACACAAGGAGGTGTGATATTTGCAACAAGTCGAATTCTTGTGGTTGATTTCTTGACCGATAGAATACCTTCCGATTTAATTACTGGTAAGAATGTGAGCTCTTATCACTATTTGTTTATGCATTTTCCCTTTTTCTGTCTGTCCCCTCTGCTGAACTCAAACCCAGACCTCGCCAGGCACTGGATGCTTTTGCTCATAACCTGACACCTTTGAGTTGCTCCATGAACACTGGCAGCCTAAATCTGCAACTTGCCCTTGTCTTCTAAGCTCATATTCAATAAATACTCAGTAATTGGCTAGCATTTGCTTTGAGAACTCAGAGAGGCTTGAGAGGTTTACAAATATTCTTCATGTATTCCTTTGCAACTTATTTCTATGATTTCAAATTAAACCAAGCCATTGCTTATTTCTTTGGGGAGTGGTTTCATTTTAGCTAGGATTAATAGAGAAGAGGAGTTACTTTTCATTACCATGCATCTCCTGAGAAGCCTTTTCTGATGTCCCCAAAGCTAATTTAGGGGCCTCTGTGTCCTCAGGTCACCCTGTGCTTCTGCCCAGGCATAGTGCCCAGAACCCCACATTGTACTTATCTGTCTTGCTCATGTTGGTGACCCCTCCAGGAATGCCTTGTTCCTCCTGCACCTGGGGCATAGTTGCAACTAGACAGCTATCTGTTGGATGAATGTAACCTTTAGTGGACACTTGGAGGGCAGACTCTGAAATTATAACCATCGTTAGTATTTCCATTGTCATCTTACCCAGGATCTAGAAGACACTCAAAAATATTTAGTGAATGAGTGTGTATGATGAATGCTCTACATAGTATAGGGTGAGCCGGCGGAGGAAAACTTTGTTACCCTTGCCTGAGACTGACCATCCCCATCAAGGATGGCACTGACCTCTGGTCAGGTTCACTTGTCTTGAAAAGGTGACTCCACCACCTACAAGCAAGCTCCTTACCTTTCATGAGCCTCAGTTTACTCCTGCCCGTTCTGAAAGGTGGTTCTCACCATTTTCCTCTACTTCTCCCTCTCTGGAGACACTGCCATCTATTCATCTATTGCATTCTTGCCTTTTCTGTCATAAGTCTAAATGTCCTCGTGTTGGGCCTCCCTGGTGGTAGAAGGGTTTAAGTCTCAGCACTCTAAGCCATCACCAGCCGCTGCAGCACTGGTGTGATCCCCAGCCAGGGAGTGACCCACAGGGTACAGCAGACCTCTCCTGTCTCCCACCGCCCCCCTCAGCAGTAGACTTCAGTGGATCCACCTGTCTGCTCCCCACTCTGGTGAATCCTCTTATATGCATAAATAAATCTTTTTTTTTAATGTTCTCATGACAACTACTGTTTTTTATTCATGTCCCTTTAAAAACTATATTGATGAGTGAAGTGAGTAAGCTGGCTTGGTTTTTAGAGTAGCGGACAGTGGACCACCCCTCACAGGGTAGAGCAGCGCTCTTGTGTTGCTGGAAACTGTGATGCTTTTTTACTCTACAGTTCTGCTGTTGACTTATTATATCCATGATTAAGTGAAATGCTTCTGTTATTTTGTGGGGGTTTTTTTGCAAATCAAGTTTTTAATTGACATATAATTTACTTATAACAATATATTATTTCAGGTGTAGCATATAATACTCTTTTTTAAATCAAGAAAATAGCACCTCCTAGAGTTATTGTAAGGATTGAGTGGGATAAAATAAAGAGCCTGGTATACAGTAATCACTTAATAAATAATAGCAAGTAGAAAAGGGCTGGGTTTTATAACCAGGAAACTGGGTACATGATAGTCTTAACTGTTTGCTGCCTTCTACTACCGGGTTTTAAGTTGACAAAACGGGTTGGGAGAGTATTGAAATGACCACTAGATGTCACTGTTTCGCTGTGAATTTCAGTACAGTTCGCCCTAGTTAACAAGAGCGCAGTCTAAATAAACATCCAAAATACAGCTTAAGGGTAGTCCCTACCCTTAAGTAAAAGTGCAAAATTCCCAACCAGTGGCAGAGCTGGGGCTGCCGCTGCCTAACTGAAATGAGTACAAAGAAATCAACTCCTTCAAACTCTCCAGCCTCTGAGGCCAAAAGTCATTCAAACAGACCACGTAGATGTGCCTAACTTGCAAATAAGAACACTTTGTGGGGTCTGGGGTGGCCCTGACAGGTCTCACCTTGTTGTGATTGTTGTTTGTTTTCAGGGGAAACCCTCAAGGGGAGTCACTCAGAAGGAGGCATGAAGCTTTGTTCTCAGGCCCATAGATTTTGGAATCTTTTGTCTCCCCTTTACTTATTGGATGGCCTGGATCAAGTGACTTCCTGTTCTGGTCTCATGATGAGATGTATCCTGGAGAATTATTGTGAGGATAAGTGAAACGCAAATCTGAAAGTGCCTACGTCCAGTACCTCAGCTTTTCAGTGCCAGCTCCCATCCTCCTTTGGGTTCCGAAAGAGTGACATTTTAGAACGTACATTTTCTTAAATAGAGGTTCACCATTTGTTTGGAAGTCTATTTTTTAAACTGATAAAATTTCAGTCTAGGCCACTAAGTGTGACCCAGTCAACTGCTTGGAAAGTCCCAGCTACTGGGTAGAAAATAGTTTCTGGATAGTCAGTTGTGTACATATGTTAGGGTGATAGACAGTCCTTTGTGTACACACTCCTAAATAATACAGTTGTTATACTGAAAAATAATTGGCTTAACTGGAGTAGATTGTAATTAACCATCCATCAGAATCTAGAATTTAAACACCAAAATAGTAGAAACTGAGTTGTGTGTATGCACTAGAAAGGGCAGTAAAACATCACAAGTATCATCTTCCAGACCCTCGGATTGAGAACTGGAGCAAAAATACGCGAGCACATTTACAGCAGGTACATAGAGGTCACCACGTGGGTCTCAGAAGCCGAGAGCCCTAAACCCTCACCGTGTGGCCCAGGGTTGCTCCTTCTACCGTTAAGGACACTTGTCTAATTGTCCTTTTGCAACACGGATGTCACTGTCGTATTAAATGTATTAAAGATGTATTAAATATGTTCATTAGAAGTTTTTATTTTCAGTGGGCTAATTCAATTGAAAATGCTCTAATTTTGAACACTGGATTATGCTCACAGGTGATGTCGGTGTCGCCCAGACTTGTAAAACGCTACTTGGTATCCCCTGCTGATTTCTTATAGAAAAGGAGAATTAGGGGCCCATCTTGCTTTCAGAAATTCTTCTTCCATCATGCCTGTCACACCCACCCTTTGCTTTTATTATCCCTTCTGCCTGGAACTCTCTTGGGCCAGAGGGTGGCAGGGTCACCGCTCACCCCCCTCAGGCCTTCACTCAGCCATGAGCTCGGCCAGGCCGCCCCAGTGACCACGCCTTCCCCCCACACCTCTGCTCCTCTTCTGAGACCTGAGTCTCCACACCATCGCCCCTCTCCCCGCAGGCGTGTTGGTGTACAGAGCTCACCGAATCATCGAGTCCTGTCAGGAAGCATTCATCCTGCGCCTCTTCCGCCAGAAGAACAAGCGTGGTTTCATCAAGGCCTTCACAGACAACGCCGTGGCCTTCGACACGGGTTTCTGCCACGTGGAAAGAGTGATGAGGAATCTTTTTGTAAGGAAGCTCTATCTGTGGCCAAGGTAACGGCCTTCTGTGCTCAGGCCCTCCGAGGGGACCGGCTGTCGTTTAAATTGACACTGTCCCGTGACATAAAACTCATCGTAGGTCCACTCCACGCGTCCTGTCAGACTGGCCCCACTGTCAATCTCTGTCACCACCTTTGTGACTCCTTTTAGAGGAGAGCACGTTGGGGGCTGTTTCTCTACTCACCTAATCCAGCCAGGGCGGCCTCTTTCTTTTTCAGAGACTCAGACATGCAGTGGCTTTAGGTGAAGGGCAGACTTGCTGGCTAAGACTCCCACTTCCACTTTGAAAATTACCCACCAGGGAAATAAAGTACAAACATGTTGAAGAATTTATGTAAGTTTCTCAGAAAAAAAGAAAAAATAAGGTTTCCATCTTTTTTTTTTTTTAAGGTTTCCATTTTTAAACACTCTGCAGCCTGTGCTAATAAATATTTTGGCCACATGCTGGTATTTGAGAAGAGTTGCTGCAGCCTTTTTCCTTTCTTGATTGTACCTCACTTCAGGGATTAGTGGGCTTTTCGTGAAAAAGGCGGGTGGTCAAATATCCCGGGCTGTGGAGGCCTTGAAGTTAAGCAGAGATGACCTGTAAATGATGTGAGTGTCTCTGCATCTTACACAAGCAGGCTCTGGGCTAGGCCCGTGTCATAGTCTTCTGACCCCAGAATAGTATTTCCACTCACTGAGGTTAAAAATATTCCTGAAAACGTCATTTGCTTTCCATCCTTCTTAACTGCATTTTACCAGAAATACCCCTAGGATATTAAACTGAAGCCAGAAATACACATTGCTCCTGAAACTGTAGAAAATATTTGAAAACCGCTTATCTTCCTAGGTTCCATGTCGCAGTAAACTCATTTCTAGAACAGCACAAACCTGAAGTCGTGGAGATTCATGTTTCCATGACGCCGGCCATGCTTGCTATCCAGACGGCCATCCTGGACATCCTCAACGCATGTCTGAAGGAGCTGAAATTCCATAACCCGTCACTTGAAGTTGAAGATTTATCTTTAGAAAATGCTATTGGAAAACCTTTTGATAAGGTTTGCTATTTCTTTTCCTTTTTATGCATGGTGTGTTATATTGTACATGTAAAGAATGCAGGTTATTTTAATAATTGCGGTGTTCCTAGTAGGAATTTGCCATTATTTTTTAATTAAATTGGAGGTGATTTAAAGTATAGCTCCACTCTGGCTTACTAGAAGGTAATCATTTGTTAAAAATACATGGATTGGCATCAAAACATAACTCTGATTTTTGCAGTTACAGTTTTTAGCTCATTTTAAGTATAATTAAGAGGAGGTTAAATAACCTTTTTACTCTAAAGTGACATTGGGCAGCAACAGGTAGAAGAGTTACATAAAAATGCTTCATAATTATACATAAACTTATGACCACTTTCTTGGAATTGAATACTTTTTGGAATTAAATATTTTGGATGAGTTTTCATTACTGGGGAGTGTAAAGCTCTGTGTTCAAATTACATTCTCAGTTGAGAAAAGGTAAGGCTTCAGTTCAAGGAGTTTTTATTCTGATTTATTTTTTTAATCATAAATTAATATTGGCACAGATGTGAGATTGAAATGTAGACCCAGAAAATGTTATTTTAAAATTCCACGCAGCTTTGTTTTCATTTTTGGGAAGAACAAAAATACCTGTCTCTTTTAAATTCACTCTTTGTCCTTGGAAATAATGTGACTGACTATATTCTACAAAAGGGGAAACTTAACTCATTTCTCAACTTCTTCCAGAGTCATCATATATAAAATAATATATTGAATTAATGTCATGTGTTCTGTTCTTAAAGTTCATTATAATTTAAATGAATGTTGATACCAAAGTCCCAAAACAAAAATGCCTCACATTCTTTTCATAAAATGTATCATCTTTAGAAAAAACAAAATATAGCCTCATATGTTTTCCACTAAGTTTCTGCTTTATCATTCCCTGGCTGGTAAAAGTCAACATGGCATGATAGGAATACCTTTGAGTAATCAGATTCCAATAATCCAATAATTCGAAAGTTATTTCGCATAACTTTCTTCTCATTCGAAAATGTAGCCTTCATAGATGATTTACAGGGCTCACGGCTGCATGCCCTGGCCATGACCTGGCTCGGACGGAGGCACCCAGCGCCTGTTGTCCTGTCCCGAGCGGTATCATTTGGATTCACAAGCGTCCCCGTGTGCCCTCGGCTGTGGCCACGCAAGTATTGCTCCTGCCCGTGTTAAGTTTGCTACTAGGGGCCCCTGGGCAGGTCAGGCTCCAGGTCAGGCTGCCCCCTCACACCCTGTTCCAGAAGCAGCAAGCGGAGGCGCTGGAGAAAGTCGCGAGCTGGGCAAGCTGCAGGCACACAGGCCTCCACAGGGCGTGTGCAAGGCTGTCCTGTGTTTTAAGTGACTTTTACGATATTGAAAGTTACTCACGTTTATACCGTTGTTAATATGACAGGTACGTCCCCATCCACGCCTCAGACTTAATAAATGAACAAGCAGATCTTTTACGCCAGCAATGAGGGTATAGAGGAATTTAACCCGGCGCCTGCGGCTTCCAGGCGCTCTGTGCTCCCTCGCCCCAGACAGGGTCAGGGCCAACTCCTGCAGGAGCCGGATGTGTCTGAGCTGCAGGCCCTGTCTCTTTGTAGAAACAGGTAATTGATTAGCTGGTGTTTTCTCTCCTGATGACTAGTGTAATTAATCGTTAGATATTCATGCTGAAATTTATTAGCATTAATAATGTAATGTGGAGAGTTAACATGAATAAAGCCAAACATGGAGAATCAAAAATTCATTGTCTGGTCATAAAGATTCTGACTGGGAGTAGAAATTATATTGATGTTGGAAATTAAAAGCTGCAGCCTTCTGACTATGGCCTGGTGGTGATCGCAGAATCTGATGGTAACAGGGGCCTGGGGGGCCCTGTGATGGGGGAGCTGCGGTCCAGGAGGCAGTGGGGAGGTGGTGGCCGTGGGGGAGAAGCCTAGCCTGTGCTTGGTCCCCAGCTTCACTGAGCCCGCAGGAAACTCAGATCTCCACACTGCCAACATGCAGTGACGTGGCAGACAGAGGACACCAAGGAGCTGCATTTTGTGGGTGCATCAGACACAGCAGTGACACCTCTCTAGAGTTCCTTCTTCCATAATGTTAACATTCCAGGCACGAGAAACCTTTTCAAGATTTTTCTCAAAAGCCTTGAAAAGTTATTAGCCATGATCCTAGAGTAATAAGAGGTAACATTGTTCCCTTTAAATTAGTGTGTAGAACTCAGGAAACTAGCCCGCACTTGTAATGTAATAAAATAATTCCAAAGGAAAATGCTTTACACTTGAAAAATTAAACATTATTATTAGACACTTACAAACTGAATTCTCTCTCCACTTCCTCGGGGGATAATGTTTTGGATGCTTTCCTGTGTGTGGTAAGTTGAATATAACAAAATTTACCACCCTGACCATTTTTAAGTAGACTGTTTATAACAATGACTACGTTGAACGTATTTTAGCAGCACTCAGTTTTATCTTTGTTTTAGACAATCCGCCATTACCTGGACCCTTTGTGGCACCAGCTTGGAGCCAGGACTAAATCCTTGGTGCAGGATTTGAAGATTCTACGAACATTGCTTCAGTATCTCTCCCAGTATGATTGTATTACATTTCTGAATCTTCTGGAATCTCTGAGAGCAACAGAGAAAGCTTTTGGTCAGAACTCAGGTAGGGTGTTTTGTGGAATACCCTGCCTTGGAGGTGGTTTGAATCAACTGCTGGATGTTGGGGCGGCAGAGGGGGTCAGTGCTGTATCTAACTGCCTGGTGTACTGAGATTCCGAGTCATGCTCAATGCACACAGCCCAGGGGCGCAGGTCTCACTGATAACTAATGTTCCCGCCTACTTACCTTCTGCTCGGCATAATAATAAGCAGGCATATCCATTCCAGGCACTTTTATTTGTGGAAAAGGCTGTGTATAATACAGGCCGTCCCCAAATTAGAAATAGGATGAGTTCTGGAAGTTTAGTTGTTAAGAACTTAAAATTCATTTTCCTCCAGAGAAACAGCAAGGGAGCATGGGGCTTCTTCCGTAGAGGGCCGAGGCCAAGAAGACATTTGTAGGGAAACACTCATCCGCTGACCGCCGTCTTGCCCACTGCCCACACTGTTGCAACCTGTGTATTTGGCCAGGCCAGTGATTGGCCAGAGGTGGTTCCCTGGCCCCTAGGGCCAAGATTCGGTATAGGCACAGGTTTTTATGGTTCCTTCAGGGACATTCTTGTCACAAATGGCAGGTGCACTGCAAGGAGTAATACAAGCCTGCCAACACGCTGGGCCCCAGTGCCAGGCCATGTGCAGGCACCAGAGGTCCTGCCACCCGTGTCTCTGCACTGTCACTGGGAATGTCAGCAAGTGGGGAGAGATCGGCTGATGTGCCGGTGCTATCATGAGAGCAGCATTGAGGCTGCAGAGCCTGTGAAGCATCTTGGGAGCCCCCTGAGGTGAGCCAGGTCATCAGAAACTCTTTCAAATGGGCCAGGAATTAAAGATTAAAGTCTCTCTCTTTTTTTTTTGCTTTTCATATCAGGTTGGCTGTTTCTTGACTCCAGCGCCTCAATGTTCATCAATGCTCGAGCAAGAGTTTATCAGATTCCAGATGCCAAAGCGAGTAAAAAAGGCAAAGTGTCAGAAAAAACGGAGATTAAAGAAGGGCAAGGTAAAGGATTCTCAGAGGCTTCAGCCTTTAACCTCTTGGTGTAGAGATGTTTATCAAGTGGCAGTGTGATTTTAACTCTTCAGCCACGTGAAAAGGTGTGCTTCTGTGTCATATGTAGTGGTCCATATCTGTTTACAATATTCACCTGGCAAGTCTTAGACTCCACTGCCAGGAGAGTCCAAATAAATGCCAAGGGTCTGTCGAGACTGTTCTCATTACTACATAAAGAACTATAGGTTAATTTTCTTTCTACTTTTGGCAATGAGTAGTTTATGCACTTAAATTCTGGGTGTGCCATTTAAAACCCATTAGCTTTTAGAGGTAAATAAGGGCTTTATTCCAACAGGTAAAATAAGTATCATTGGTATTTTGTTTTGTTTTGTTTTGTTTTTGGTCAAGGCATGAAACTGGGTTAGTGCTTACTTTCTGCCTCATGCAAAGGTCTGTTTCAGAAGTTAATTAAATATATGGTGACATGTTTGAATACATGTAGAAATATAAGTTTGAGTGTTGTCTACTTTTGTTTTTTTAACATTGTATTTACTTATTTTGCATAGACGAATTGGGGTATAGGCCAGAGACAGAGTAGAGAGCAGAAGTGCTCTCTACTAAATTCAACTAAAATCAACTAAAATCCACTGCTGAGAAGAGCAGCGAAGAGACAGGAGCAGTCTGCTGCGCCATGTGCGTCAGCTCCCTGGCTGGGGATCAAACTCAGGCCAGGCCAGTGTGGTGGGCCTTCATAGTGGTAGTGCTGAAACTTAACCCCTAGGCCACCAAGAAGACCTGATTATTGTCTTTTATTCCATGTTCCAGATTGTGAATGTTGTGGGGATTTTAGAAGTAATAACTACTGATTTTCTGTACTGTCCCCTTCATTTTGCCTCGCCACTTAGTGTCACTGCTGACAGCCGCACGCATCATCTCTTATTAATGCCTGTGCACAGAGCCCTCTGTCAGGGTGTCATGAAACCTGGATTAACACAGGTGTGACGTGTTGGCCATTCAGGCCAGAAGTAGACCTTTTCCAGGAAGGCAGAGTCTATCTATGAATTCTTACTGTTGAAGAAAGCTCAGGGGACTTTCTTCAGTTGTAGAATGAAACATGTGTTTTGTTATTCTAGCAGTCTTTGGAATAAGAACTGGCCATAAAATATAGGTTGTCTTTTATTTCTACACAGAAACAAAAAGGGAACTGGTCCTCGAAAGCAACCCCAAGTGGGAAGCACTCACTGAAGTATTGAAAGAAATTGAGGCAGAAAACAAGGAGAGTGAAGCCCTTGGTGGCCCAGGTAGGGGGAAAGGAGATGGTGGCATTCGCGTTCTCTTTCAGAATCCCGCAAGTCAGCCCCTTCGATTAGCTGGTTAGCAATACCTCAGTTACTTTGTTCATAAAATGTGAAAACGTAAGTGCTAAGTGAATACTGAAATACTATCAACAGCCTCCTTTCCACTCATGTGATTTTCTCCAGGTTGAATCATTGTGTATTCATGAAAGTGTGGGGTTTTTTTGCTGGTTGCATCCTCGGAACTTCTATTTCAGCTAATCCCCACATACATATTCACCAGACTTTAAATCTGGAATCCCCAAGGAGAAAGCTGATGAGCTCACATTTTATATTCCCAGCGAGTGTCTTTCCAGAGAAGCCTCAGCTGTTCCATGGAGTGACACCAACCTGGCTCTGGAATCGAAAACAATTCCGAACCTGAGGGCCACTCTGCTCAGACTCGACTAAGCAGGCTTGCACACACAGCAGGCTCAGCCGACTCCATTGAGAAAATAAAGCCAAACGGAAAATGAAACTCGATTACAGAAATTAACTCCTGCAGGGCAGTAGAGGCAAGCACCCAATCCTTCTATCAGTAAACACTCTGGTGGTATTTTCCCAGAACTACGGTGCTGTGATTTTAGAGCCAAGGTCACACAGGCTTCTCACTTAGAAAACGAAGAAGAGCGGAGCAGAAGAAATGGGTGCACAGTGGTCACTGTCAGCCTGGGCGTGCTTCCTTCCAGGTTTTCTTCCCCGTGTTTTCTGGTTTCTCATTGTCAGAGGCATAGCACAGGTATAATTTCTGGATCCAGAATTCATGAGTCAAATGACAGAGTCCTTAAGACACAGTTACCGCATTGACTTATATAAAGTTTTTATCAATCTTCAGTTCTTCTAACAGTGTAAGAACTTACCCATTTTTCGCAAAGGGAACAATGACTGAAAAATGTATTGGTACTATGTGAACCACATACATGTAACGATTTTATTAATTTAATTGCAGAAAAGTGTCATCTTGCTTTTATTTTTTTTTTAAAGATTTATTTATTTGTGCATATAGAACTGGGGTACAGGCCAGAGGCTCAGGGGCAGTGAGAGGCTTCACCAGAGACAGAGTGGGGAACAGAACAGGCAAATCGACGAAGTACACTGCTGAGGGGAGCAGCGGGCGGGTCAGGAGAGGTCTGCCACACCAGGGCAGGTGGGAATCGAACTCATGCGGAAGCGGCTTTAGATTCTCAGTGCTGTGCTTTAACCCACTGCGCCACCAGGGAGGGCCGTCATCTTGCTAGTGTATGACGAGCTCAGTAGCTCTTCATTAGCATGTGCTCTCGTGAATTATGTGTGTTCCCTTTGCCAATTGAGGCTAATTTTGAGTTTGTGTTGAATTTTTACATATTAAAGTTGTTAAACTTATCCGCGTTTTCGCAGAGTTCTTTTTGTCCTTAGCTTTTTTAATGCACCCTTTTTAAAAAAAAAAAATTCTTATGGGGTCAATCTTAGATTGTAGATACCAGTCTTGTCTGAGGTTTCTTCCTCTGCTTCTAAGCCAAGAAAATCATCTCCATCCGAAGGCGCTTAGAAGAGCCACCTTTCTTCTATGAGTTAATATTTGACATTTGACTCTGTAATCCACTTGGAATTTATTTTGCTATATAAGATCTTCTGGAAAATTGCTAATTAAAAAAGGGCTTCTTTAAAGCCTCCATTACACCATGACCGTACTTTCTCAAAGTAGGTATTTCTGGCTTCAACTTTGCTCAGAAGATTTAAGTAATCCTGCCGGCGAGCTGAAAGCTTCTGATAAACACCGAAGAACCTTCTGCAACAAAGCGCGCACATGGTGCCTTCAGCGCCCAGGGGCCGGGGTGCCTTCTTTTTGCTGTAAGGGCGCCGGGCCGGCCCCGGGCAGCGGCCCCCAGCAGTGACCGAACCTTCCTTCTCGTTTTAGGTCGGGTGCTCATCTGCGCCAGCGACGAGCGGACCTGCTCCCAGCTGCGGGAGTACCTCACCGGCGGGGCCGAGGCCTTCCTGCTGCGGCTGTACCGCAAGGCCTTCGAGAAGGACGGCAAGGCCCAGGAGGTGTGGGCGCCGCCGCCGAGAGAGGACTGCGCCCGGAGGACCACGAAGGCCCGCCGGCGGCCCGCAGACCGGCCTCCCGCCCAGGGGAGGGCGCTCAAAAAGAAGCCGCGCGGGCTGACGCTCACTCAGATGGTGGGCGCCGCGGGGCCGGCGGGAGGCGACGCGCCCGGCGAGGACGGCCGTCAGGGCGGCGGCGGCCCCGAAGGCTGCGGGGGAGAGATGGCGCACGAGGCCTTCGATGCCAACTTGTCGTCCGAGGCGGCCTACGGGATCCTGAGGGAGCCGCTCACCGTGCTGCACCCGCTCCTGGGCTGCGGCGACCCCTACGCGCTGACGCGGGTGCTGCACGAGGTGGAGCCCAGATACGTGGTGCTGTACGACGCCGAGCTGACGTTTGTCCGTCAGCTCGAGATCTACAGAGCCAGTCGGCCTGGGAGACCGCTGAGGCAAGTGGCGGGCTTGTGGGCCGGGCGCTGAGGGCTCGGCTCTCCCGGCGCCTGAGGGTTTCGC